CGTCTCTCTTTTTGCTCGGCGATAATATCCATTGTGGCATGAAAGTTGGCAAACTTCGTCAGTCACTCAGCCAGCTGCAGTCAACAAACAAGACGAGCAGCAACTAATCTGCTCAATATTGGCTGTGCACATACACAGCTTATTAGCCATAAATCTTGGCTATTAACTAAGCAACTAAGTAAGTTCTGCCGTAAAAGACTCAATTATTTTTTTCATTAGTGTGCGAGGATTGAAATTTTTTAATTCTCTCCTAGATATAATTTCTTTTTGCATTTCTTTTCAGTGCAAAATCACAAAATGAATAAATTTCATGCCTATTGGTGTTCATAAATTTATTATTTTTTATTATTTATATTATCAAATCGACTTGATTGGCCTTTTTTAAATTATTTTCTAAAAATTTGCATTTTAATAGAAAAGTACTTTTATTACTGATTTATCAAATTAAAAAGAACGATTATTATATTATAATTTTAAAAACAATGTGTCCTAATAAAATCTGCACCAGCCAAATTATTAATGGCATTGATGTTGATCTAGTTTCAATTCCAAGAGAGACTTTTATAAGTGTCAAAAGTCATGCATAGTTCAAATGTGATTAAAAAAAATAAGCGAGCTGCTAGAATCAGCTGTGTATCGTTTTATAAATTGCAAGAAGCAGGAATAATGAGGAGAACTCTTTTAAAATCTAGGCTAATTAAAAATCTATATTTTTATATTTGCAAGGAAAATGTTTTTGACGGAAGTATCAAATCTTATCAATTATGAGGAAACCACAAAAGGCTTGTCTGTGAAAATAAGTTTTAAATATATGCGGTTGGTTGTCGGCGGTTGTTCATTTTTCAAGTGTTTTCCTCCCCGCTAAATGACGCATTTTGATTTATTCAACATTTCGATTGAAAGTCCTCGACCCGACGTCAACACAAATATTATTTGTCGCCGCCGCTTCAAGATGCGAAATATTTAGTTTTTGCACAGTGTTCCGCGGCAGCACAAACGTGACGAGCCATTCAGTCACTAGAAAGAAACAAAATCGGTATTGATTCAGTCTGGCCCGCGACGCGAAGAGAGAGAGAGAGAGAGACCGCTCAAGTGGAAAAGCCATTGCAACATACAGCGGAATTCTAAGCACCGACAGTCCGCGCCATGCTTTTTGTCCTCCTATCTCATGAATTTGGCAGAATCAACCGTATTTTTATCGGTACCGCGGAATTTTTTTACTATTGTTGCTTTGAATTGTCTTATTGATATTGATATATAAAATACGCTACGGAGTACAATCGGTATTATTATTTGTTTGGACCTCTCAAAAGAAAGTTTCGAACGGAAAATAATAAAGAGTGAGATATTCTTTCTCTTAAAAAAAAATTAGGATAATAATATGCTATAATCAACAAAATTAGTATAATTAGTTTTCTTTAATTACTTTATGGCAAAAAAAAATGTTGTTGAAACAAGAATAATGTATAAAATCGTTTAAAAATAGCAACATATTAAAAAAAATAATAAAACAAAAAATTCATCAAGATTTCATTTATCTGAAAATAAATATTTATTAGTAAAATTATAATAAATGTGAAGATATTTGTTTATTAAATTGAAGATAAAAATTATAATAATTAAATGAAATTAGTGTTTTTTTCCAAAACATTTTGATGGTTGCAAGAACCGCTAGTATAATAAAATCTTATCTCCATAATTGTTTTATGTTTGATAATTTTCCGACAAAATTGCGATGGCGAAGATAACGAAAGGCTCGAGTCAAGTCACGACTTTGGACTATTCTGAAATTCAAACCCAAACAGCGCCGTGCCCTCGGAACGTAAAAATGGATGGTGTGCATGTGCGAATGCTGAGTGGGGTGGGCTTGGGGGGCGCGACACGTATCACTGTATGTGCGCTGCGTGTAATTTCCAGCTAGGGCGCCGCCGCCTTACTGGGTCACCCCATTGTAATAAAGTGCATAGCGTGAATTCCCTGCTAGTGTGTCCCGTCCATATCGGCAGTAAATGCACTTGCCTGTTACGAGCGCCAGGAGCTCTCTGGCTTGCACTCGCCACCAGCTTGTAACACTTTTCGTACAACTGCACCGCCTTTCTCCAGTTTGTCGCAACCACCACTATACACTACATTAGATCTGCATGATTGAGAAATGGGTCTCTTGTTGCCAACTTATAAACGGGGCCGGACTTCCAAGGGCTAAACTATGGAGAAGAGCAGTTGCGAAAATCGACCCGAGCAGTGAAATCTATCAGCGGAAATAAGGGCAGGAAACTAATTCATTTGACCAAACTATTTTTAGTAAAGGATTCAAAAAACCATTGGCGCAAACTTTGAATTGGAAACAAATAAAATTGTCTAATTAATGAAAGAAATTTGTATAAAATTATTTTGTTTATATCATTAATTATGAAAATGACATCATTTTACACTGAAAATGGGAACTAAAACCAATATTGAATAATTTGTTACTTTCTTGTGAGTAAAATTGGAACAGGAAGTTAGTAATAATTAAATGTACAAGCATGAGCTTTATAATTTAATGTACTTAAATCTAAATTATAAGTCATTATTGTTTTTTATAAAAACGATTCCAAATTTAAACTTAAATTTGTGCTTAAGAAGTTGCTAATTTTTTTTCACTATAGTTGGTAATTAATTTAAAATCCTGTATCCTAAATTAAACAACCTCAAATTATTACTCTTTCAACTCTCAACCAATTTCTGAAAAGCACTAAATCATAATTTATTAATGTAGTTCCCATAGCAACAATTATAATTTCAAAAGATCCTGCACAAAGTTGTGGCGTCAGACTTATTTGAATAAATAACGAACCTGCAAGTTGGGCTCTTTGCGCGGCCAACTTCTTTCTTAATGTAGAAAGGCCTGCAGAAACTCTCATTACGGTCTCGATTGTTTCGTCATGCATTTGCATTAGCCACACGCGTTGGGAACAAATCTTTTGGAAATCGATCGCGGTGCTCTTGTTGCGGCGGAGCCTCCTTGCTAATACCCCGGAGTCCGAAAGGGGATAACAAGGAGGAAATTGTAATAAATTACTTCCAAATATTTGTCCAAATTGTTTACATTGGTGCGGCAGCACGCAGACTACGGCCGGCTAAAGGTCCCATCCTACCTCATAATTCATATTTCTATTTTAAACCCGCACTAACAACACGGCGGTGCGCGCCTCCACGCACTACTTCTCCGCCGCCGCCACCGACCCGACGCACTGGCGCAAAATTTGAATCGCTCTTTCACTCGTCGCGTATGATTTACCGCACGGCCTAACGTGATAAATACGATTTCCATCAACTGCAGCCGCGGCCGCACAGATAGCAACAGCTAAAGCGGCCAAATCTGATTTTGTCATGTGGCGAGAGGGAATATGTGCGACGGAGGCTGCCATATTCTGAGCCTTTTTGATAATCGATGCGTCAGCACCTTGCGAAACGTGTCCTGAATAACACTCCGAGAAAAGGGGGTAAACACGGCTGGAGTGCAAACAAAAAAATTGAGACCAGAAAAGAAACTCATCAGTAAAATGAAAGGACCACCGAAAGATATAAAAAAAAAATGAGGAAAATTTGAAACAAATATTTGGACTGAAAAACCCTCCTTTGAGCTTTTAATTTATTTCAAATTGTTTAAGATTTAGCTATTTTCATCAAAAATTTCAACGTAGAATTTAAAAATGTTTTTAATTCATGTTAAAAAAATTTTAAAACTATAAGAGACATTGGAGATTAATTTTCCATTTAATAGAGCTACTTCAATTTGCACCAAACTGTTTATAGAAAAATAAAAACTAAACCTTCTTAATGGGAAAAGTCCAATTCATCGTTTATCAAGTTATAAAATGTTTCACTTCCTTCGTAATTAAGCTTCTCAAATTAATTTCTTTGCATTCAATTTCATTACAAAATCTGTTAACTTATATACTTTAGCAAGAAGCATATAATTTGATGGAAATTTAAATACATATATTTTAATATATAGAATTAACATTAATATTAAATAAAATACACTACAAAAAATGTTAAGATAAATTTACATAAAATTAAGCATATTTTTTATTGGTCAAAAAAAGTATTTTAAATATTTTTATTTATTTTCTGTAATATGATGACGTAATTTACGCAGACTAATTGTGATAAGGGTGATTAATTCACATAATTAATAAAAATTGGTGTCTTTTTCAACATGCAACTTGTAAACAACAAAAGATTTGCGGTTTTATAAAAACAGTCAAAATCATTATGTATGTATGAACGAAGCAAGGAATGCTATATTTAAATCAGCTAGATTTTCCTCTCTCCCAACGATTCGTCATTTCCTCTCTGTTGAATTGAGCGGTGCAAGAAAATATCTCATTTCACTCGGAGCCCTTGCATCCCCTTGACCCTAATTGAATATCGCCGGAGTCTCATCTCGTCACGGGCTAAAATTGAACTTATTGCTTGCAAGAGAGTGCTCGAGAAAAAGTCAGCCGGTGTCTGTTTTGGGTTTTTGTATTTCCGTCTATTTTCGGGCATGATGAGATACACCCCTTTTATTCCGACTGCGTCAGATTTTATTATAATAAGCACGGAACAAAATCAAGACATCAATGGTTAATCGATTGCAAACAAACCCCTTTAGTATCTCTCCGAAATGCGTCAAGAAATAATTCGAAATCGATATTCACTTTATTATAATATTATATTTACTGTAAAAAATTGTAAATGATATTGACTGAATTGTTTGTTATAAGTAATGAGATGAATCTTCGAAAAATTGAAACTGATTTTTGATTGTTTCAAATCATTTTTTTATCATTTCTATAATTAAAAATTTGAAAGATCTAGCTTTCAAGATAGGTTCATCTTTTCCAAAATCAATAACACGAAAAATGATCAGGAAATTTTTTAAAGCTGGTTGCAGGTTTTCTTTAAAGTCGACGGTGCCTTCCCAACCAAAGGGGTGCAGTTTTAAATAAAATAAAATTTTTTGCGCTTACTGTGAGTGTCGAATTTGCGGATGATGGTCTCGATGATGGTTGTGCGTGGTGCCACGTGACCTCTTCGGACCGGCATGTTGTTGTTCTGTGCGTTCAGTCAGGGGGACGACGGCTACTGGAGGCTGCACCGAGTCGCCTCGGCGAACGCGAAACGGAACAAACTGGGGGAATTCGGTGGTCGGCGGCGGCACAGGCTCCGAGGAGACGGGGGGTGCGAAACAGTCAACTGGAAATAACGACGACCAAATCCATCAAGTTGCAGGTGGTGAGAAGGCACATGAGTTCGCGCGCGCCACCCACACTATACTATTGCACCTCTCGAGGGCATGGTGCTGGTGTGGCGTTGGCCGCGAAAGCGCCGCGCCCGCCGCGACTCATCCTCGATCCCAGGCTCTCGTGACAAGACTGAGCCGACACGCTCGCAACCACCGACCCCGAACCATCGGTGCGCCATCGCTGGGCACCTCTCGAACGAACTCGGAGCCGCGCGCGGCCGTCGCCGAACCAACGCAAAGCCGCTTGCGGACTGCGCACCGCATTTGCCTCCGCGAAAACCTTTTCTCGGCTCACGACGTAAATCTGACCCGCACCGACTGACCTCTTTCGGTCCACAAGGGCTTTTCGGCAAAGTTTCAAACTGTTTCTCGCTCGGAAAGGATTTTTCATATTTAAATGCTAATTTTTTGTTCATTCCCTTAAATAATTTTAGACACATTTGAATTTAAAAAGACTGAAACTTTTAAACAATTTTGAACAGCTAGTGCAATTAAGTTTAAAAAAATTTTTAATTAAATGTACAATTCTAAATTTTTATCTATTATATAATAATTTAAATTTAATACGTAACAGTTTATTAATTTTTTTAATAAAACTCGAATTATAAATTTATGTTTTAATTTTTAATATTTATAATAAATTTTTATTCTTATTTATGATTTCAAATTAATTATTGTTATTTGTAGTTTAATGAATAAACAATTATGTAAATTATTTTGCACTTACATTTTTAAATATTTAAATCAAAATTATTGCGTAGTTCTCACAGAGTTTTCAGATTTACGTTAACACTCACATCACAGTGATCCAAATATGCATAAATTTAAAATTGATTGACAATTAAAAATATCATTAAAACTTGAAACTAATTAATGAAAATTTTAAAGTCGCTATCAATGAATATTTTTAATTCTAAACTTTGAATAAAATTACTCTTGGATCTTTTGTGAAATAATTATGTTGAATATAAAATTTTTAAAAGAGAAATGATTGAGATAAAATTCATTGAAAAAAAAACACTGAAATCAGTTTTTACTTAAAATATGACATTGAAAGACCGGAAAAGACTTAACCATATTCGTAAATTCCTCAGTAGATGATATCAAAAAATAATGCATAGCATTAATTATTAAAACTACGTTTTCACAATAAGCGTGAAATATGTGGGTTTTTTCCCTTCTCGCTCTCCAGAAACTGCACGCTATCCGGACTTTCGCCTGAGAGACGCTTGAAAAATTTAATTTAATTCATTCTCCACCCAAGTACTTATTATTATTGCACATTGATATTTTTTCCCAACATTTTCCGGAACACTGCATGCTATTATAATAGAATTTCGAGATTAAAATGCAGCAACACAGTGACTATGGAACGCTTTTTCCGCCGCAACCCAGTTGCACGTGATGATGTTGTGTGCGGCGGGTTGTATATATATTGATGTATGCAAAGCAAATGTGTTTTGCCGGTGTATGCATGCATGTAGTATGTGTTCTTAATGCCCGCGGTTCGCGCGCCCAGGTCGATACAACACACGAGAGAGAGAATGGGTATGAAAAGTGAAGCGGGACGGAAAAAGCCACACGCGAGATGTGTAAATATTTATGGGGGCGCGCGCACGCCGCTCTGCTCGTCTGCATTTGAGGATTTTCGCGGTACCCACACACTCACAAAGCCATTAATGGCCATGAATAATGCCGCGACCGGCCGAGTTATGTAACGCGACAGCCACTTTCTTTCTTGGATTTCCTTGCCGCGACTCTGTACGGAGAAAAGGATGTAATTGAATTTGAGTAAAAAGAAGGTGCAAAACTTTGTGTATGCAAATTTCTTGCGCCCGTACGTTCGTGAACTTTTCCAACTGAGATTTAATTATTTATGATGCTTTTATACAATATAATGATAAAGTTCTGTTTTATTAAACTTTTGGGAACTTTTTTTTAATGCACTCTCTCTCATTTCATTGATTTTCTTTTCAATGTGACAAAATAAATAATGGGTTTATAAAAACCACATGTTATTTTTTATATTTAGCTTATTTTTATATTTCAATGTGCTGATGTTTAAAACACAATAATAGACAATTTTGTAGTACGTACGTGTTTTTTCTAAAGGTTGGCAGCGCGTTTGCTCCCATATTGTATGTCGCGCGTACAACATTGTTTTTACATCGCGCCGGTCCAGAGACCATTAACCATTATAGTAAGCGCGACGCACGCCGCATTTATTTATTATAGGCTCTCAAATAAAAATATAAATTAAACTTAAATTTCTATCTTATTGCAAAATAAGTTGCAATAAATGCATTAAAAATAAAAATACATTTGGCATTTAATTGTTAGCCTGAGATATTAAAATTGACAGGCAAAAGATTTTTTATTTTATCAAACAACATTTACAATATGTATTTTTTTTCATCATTCTAAATATTGAAACGAAGAAATTTTGGTGGGAAAATACTTCAGTTTCTTAAAATTTAAAATACGGTGACATTAGATGATTCTAGGCACCAAAATCAGCAGTTTAACTTGTAAATGGAGTGTCTAGTCAATTTAATATTATCAAAGTGTATTTTGATTGCTTTTTTTATAAATAAAGGTTTAAATTAATAATGAATATTAAAGAGGTTTGCCCTGTTTCAATTTTCATGAAATTCACTCCGAGTTTTAGCATTACATTTAAATTAATACATATTGTGAATAAATTTTTGCCTTTTGTTTTTAAATAAAATGGAATCCAAAAATATTCAAACTTCAAGAAGGCACCATCTTGAAAGTTTCATTCGAATAATAATAACTTCTCTGCTTCAGCCAGTGAAATAGCAAGCCCAAGGCAAAGCGAGTCGTTTGCTAAAGAGGTTTGAATCGAGTCTTGGCGCGCACGTGAAGCAACAAAAAACTAATCAAGGGCATGGAAGGTGTTTGTGCATCATTCATGTGCATTTCGCTCTCGGCCTAATTGCGATCTCGCTCTCTCTCTCGCACCCCGCCCCTCCCCTCCTTCTCCCTCCTGTCTGCCCGCCCGCCCGCCCTAATGTGCTTGTGATGCAATTAGGTTAGAGAGAAGCAAAGAATTTTGTGCACTCTGCCTCTCTGCATAAATTTCACTCTTTAATTATTTCTCATTGCTACTCTCCGCCCGCCCGCGCTCCTGCTTGTTAAAATAAGCAAATTTTATTACACAAAAATATCGACTTCAATTAAATTTGCATATTCAGGTTTATAATTTGCTCTGCAGCAACAACAGTTCTCGATTTGCATTCGAAATTTAACTTATAACTTTGCGAAAACATATTTATCAAAAGGAGGCAGATTTTACAGCTAAGCCGCATGGCCATTTTGACGCAGTTGATGGCGGCATCTGTGAAAAATTTAATGTGGCTTTTTATGAAGCAAAAGAGAAAAAAATATGCATGTTTTCCCACCTGCAGTTCCTCTTTTTATAGTCAACAGCTGGCGTGCGGCTCGCCAAATTTTGCGGTGACGAGAAAAAAAATCAGCGTCTGGCACCAGAAAATTTCCTGGTTGCGAAAACTCTATCTTGTTACAACAATTTATTATAAAAGAAAAAAAATGGTATTTGACAAGGTTTAAATGTATGAAATTGATGAAAACTTTCCAAATATTTTCCTCTAAAATTTTGTTCGGATTTTGTATCGAAAAAAATTTAATTCAGACTACAATTACATTACTTACAATCAATCAACAATTACTCTACAATCGCAATTTTTTTCTACAGAGAATTGCAGATAATATAAATGGCACTTGTAAAATTTGCAGCATCAATTTTTAAGAATTCTTGTAATTTTGCCACTTTTGAAGAGGCCTTAAATAGAGCATCATAAATAAATCCATTTTGTACGAAGCACCACATTAATCATCATAAAATTTGTCTCTCATTTTTATACACACTTGGCATACGACGCCAAATTGCTGAATCAGCATATCTGCAATCTCAGCAGCGTTTATTTGGACGGAAAGCAAAAAAGATCTACGAATCGGGCAGCCGAGCGTTGTGCAACCGTGCCCATTTACTTTATTGACGGAGCGGAAAAAGTTGTGCAGTGCGACGACTCGACTCTTCACCGCGAAATTGAATACAAATTGCATTTATACGTTGGCGATGGTGAGGCGGCGGGACGTGCTTCGCTCTGATGGAGCCGCTCGGAACTTTTAGCAGGGGTGAGAGCACCACAGGCACCAGCAGAGGGTGTGCGGAGCCAGATCTGGAGCGCCGAGCGCAGAGTGCGTTTTTTATTATTGCCACCTGGGATTATCACTGATTCGAGTTCAAATCGGGCGGGATTTCCATTTCAAAGAAAAATTTTATTTGAAATTAGTCTCGAATTTACTGATTTTTTAGAGTCTGAGCAAAATACAAATTAGAACGCTTCTTGTTTATCACCAAATCACCAGGATCGCATGTAAAAAAAAATAATAATAATAATTGCCTAAAGTTAAAATCGAGAAGGAAAGAGAGAAAGTGTGCACAGGTTAATTTTTCTTGCGTGCCTCTCAATCCGCTTTAGCTATAAAAACGCACATTTACTTTTAACGCTTTTAAGATTATTTAAGAGGATAATAAAAAAAAGGAGGGCGTATTCGTGTTTGCAAACTTGTCTTAAAATTATAAACTAATTGGATGAAAAAAATTCAAGAGGAATTTAATTACTATTTAATTTTTAATGCGCCTTGCACTTGTAATTTTATTCATTATTCCTTCGTTATTTGTGCGTTAAATTATTTATTCTTTTTAGATATTTCGAGATATTTTTCCAAATTAAAAAAAATATTTATACTTTATATAAAAATTAAATTTTCAATTGAAAATACGATTTGAAGAACTTAACTAGATAATTCACGTGCAAATTTAATTAGTTTATTTTTAATTATTGAATTACTTTTAAGCGATTTATGCTATAAATTTATTCATTTATTTATATTAGAGTAATCCTCAATGCGAAATTTAAATTCAGTCTGCCTCCATTGTTAGCAGAATTTCTAAAATTAATCTAGATAAAATGAAGATATTTAATTGAACAAAATGATATTTTTAGCATAATATAACATAAAACCTTGAAATTAGAATTGTACGTGCCGGTTCAGTTGTGT